ATAATAACTATGCAAAGGAATTTCAAACATTTTTCTTTTGATTATCCATAAAATTTTAGTAGTCCACGAACACGAAGCCACGTTTTGCTGCGACCAAAAGAAGTGTTGCGCTCACATTTTTCCACACTGGATATTTCCAATCTCGCTCAGAATCACTTCTGTCATCAAAAGTTTTAGTTTGTGTTACATTTTTAATCACTCTTCAGGGCTTGTTACAATCAGTCAGAGTCACGAAAGCATACATCCGCGTGATTTTTTTCCTAGTTAGAGCATTTTTATATTGCCAATTCAACAATCTTTCCCTAATAGTATCATAGTGCCACTCAAAACACACTCATATTCACTCAAAGTAAACTCGATTGATAACAATTCTGACCTTGGTACAATTGCATGTTTCACACTTAACTGCACTCTAATATCTTTTTAAACAGTTGTAGTATATTCTAGTGAACAAATGACCAGGGTAACCACGAAATTAAGATATATATATTTACTTACGTTCACTTTAAAACACTCGATCTGTCGCGTTTCAAACAAAGTTCACATGTCTTACGCTTAAGGGCAGTACTGGTAACCTTTTGAACATGTAAGCGCAGTATATAATATATAGATTTAGCCAAGCCTAAAAGCGGAGCTCGCATTTTTTTTCCCGCACGTCTCAAGGGCAGAACGCCTTGCCCCTGCCAGGACTAGAACCCGGGTCGTCCGACACGGAGCCCAGTGCACTGACTACTGGACTACTGGACAAAGCTGTGGCGTTGGCGTGCCCGCGGTACAGTTGACCACGCATGTTAAAAGTAGCACCTTGTACGGTCATACGGTCGTATGGTTGTACGGTCGTAGGGTCGAACGGTCGTACATCCAAATTTTTTCGGCTTGATGGGTTACTACTATTTTGTATAATTATGGGGCTACGCTCTGCGAGCTCCGCTATTAGGGACCTTAAGCAAACCACGACGGCGACTGCAACGTGGACGTGGAAAAACAAAAGATCTAATTGGCAGAACAATAGCTCAGCACGTGCGTTTTAAAACTTTGTACATTTCTCAGCCGTCCTATGCAAAGCAACAACGTGAAATCACCACAATTTGCGTCGTCTATGAACTGAGACCGCGACGACAAATTATTTTAATTTCCATTTGGAACTCAACGCTTCTTTTATACGGTATGCTGAAGTTGAGGTGTGGCGCTGTATGAGACGGTAAACAAATGCAGCCATTTTTGAAATTCTAATTTAAGGCAGAAATTCATTTTTTAATCGAAGTTTTCCTTGGCGTTGCCGTCCTGACTGCTTAAGGTCCCTATTATTCTAGGAGTAAATGATCATATGAGACTTTAGTTAGCGGAAAATGCAGTATATAATTAATTCTCAAAGAGCGTGGTGTATACTGCTCAACGAGTACACGAAAAAAATAAGAAATCTCAAAACACACCTATCTACACTCAGAGTAAACTTTAGCATTCACAGTTCTTACCAAGGTTCATTTGTGTCACACTTTTAGATGCTAATGCTTAAAGTACTCTAATCGTTTCTCAGGTGGTGTTTCATCGTATGTGATCGCAGTGTCAAGACTGAAGAGGTTATTCTTCTCTCCAAAGCCCATTTGAAACTGCCAAACGTACAGCTTGGTATTCGGTGGGATTTTCACCTTAAGGGTTTCTTCTATTTCAGTGGTGTCACTCCACTTGAACTGCTCTGTGTTGACCATCTTTCCACCAAACGTCTCCCTGAGGCCATACTGAACTTTACAGAGACCCTTAATCAAATCTGAAACTTGGGCTGTAATCTCCTTTTCTTCGCTTCTTGTCGTCTCGATGGACCATTCAGACTCTATGGAGGACATTGTGCTCCTGTCAAATCCAACGGTTTTCTTGATGTTTTTTTCCCATTCAATGGCAGTGTTGGAGTCGTTTTGAAGACATTTTACTTCTTTCCAATACCCGAACACTTTTCCATAGGTTTGCGCCATACCACCAGGGAGGAACTTGAGCACTGACTCGTGAACGCTGAAGTCTTTGCAATCTTTGTTCAAGTTCATGTTGGTGCTTCTGTGATAGGTGACACCCCATTTTCCAGCCTGCTCCAGACAGTAGACGTAATTCTTGGTACCCCAGAAATAGATGCCATCTTGGAACGCTTGGTGGATTTTATATTCAACGGCGTCTTCATCTTTGTTCATGTTACTCACTCGTCTGTAGGTGCCTCTCTTGGCAAACACGATGTACCAATTACCAAAGGCAGAGTAGTAGCCGCTTCCTCCGCGACAGTTGCAATGAAGAGAGTAAACCACAGCGTCATCGTCTTTACTCAGGTCGGTAACTCTGCGATACTCATCTCCTTTAATGATGTAGAAATAAGAGTTAGTGGCCAAGTAATGATCGCCCCATCTACAGGCCTCACTTAAACGGTGAATCTTGATACGTTTTCCAGTGTGAATATCTTCGCAACTCATGTAGACACCCACATCGGAACGGATGATGTAGAAGGTTTTTTTAGTACCACAAAAGTCTATTCCTCTGGCCTCAGGTGCACTCTTTGGCACGATCTCCGGATAATCTGAAGCGGCGGACATATTTTTCACTCAGTAGTTGCAGCTGAAATAACGTTTCTTCTTGAGTATCTGCAAAGAAGAAAAATAAAGCAAAAAGACCGAGCTTTAATAGACGTTGACTTCGATTCTCGCTTGATCGTTAATGGAGGGAGGGGAAATAGAATAGGGCAATATTTGCGTGAGCGGTGTTAAGTATACATTTACCATCACGTCGAATGGGCCATTTGGGAACATTTGGGAAGATAATTTTTCGCACTGGGCAGTTTTACTCTCCCTCGGAATCACCACATTCCAAACACCGGTTTGTTTGTGATACTCTTTAATCATTCCTCAATATCTTTTACAACGATTCATCGACGTAAAGCATGCATCAATTGCCGTGTTAAAAAGATGACTACTTCATGATACATCGCTAACGTGATACAATCGCCTTTTTCATGATGCCATCTCATCTATCAAATTGTAGCTGTCTATTGGCGTCTAAAACTGCCTATGAAATCATTCTTGTCAATTGAAAGAGGCTAGTACACTCCACTTAAAAACGTTTTTGCTGTCAGCTTCTTCAAAACAGATTCCAGATGATTTACAAGAGCCAGGAAAAATTGTTGCAAGTTTGTACTGACGGATGTTAATCAAACTAATCAGATGTCTAGAACTTGGCAACAATTCAAACAGTCAGTGAATTAAAGCTAGTTCCGAATAAATTTTTTTCCTGTAATCAAAAGCGATAAACATTTATAGATATACAGTGCGGAGTGACTGAGTTTTGACTTTTAGAATTTTTCCGCATTGGTCTGTATGTTTTACTCTCGCTTAAAATAACTATAGTAGAAAAACTATTTGTTTGTGATACAATTTGATAACTCCTCAGTATCAATAGTCAAAGAGAAAATGATGCATATCAAACTTTGGTTCGGATTTTGGCTGGACAATAAGTCAAGCTTCAGCTCATTTTATGTTCTTATCTATTGTTTGAAGGAAAGGGTTTCCATTGTTCACAAGACAAAGGTTTTTCTGACAAAAAAAACTTATGCAAGTCACTACCACATATCTTTAATTTCAATCAGTCGAGAAACTTGCGTTTCATATAATGCCTTCTGTGGTATATCGTTCCGTGGCGGAAAACTTCAGAGGTTTGTTATCAGATATAGGCGGGAGAAAACCTTGTAAATAAAGATCATCACGTTCAAGTACAAATATTAATTGAGCGACTAGGAGGCGAAACTTGACATAGGAATAGAAAATAGGGTAATTTGGCTCGTGCAACCAGAGAAAGATTTGAATCGCAGCGTTGAAATTTGATGAATTTTGCAACCGGAAATTTGATAAACGCAGGATTCTATTTAAAACTGGTTTTGTAGAACGCCCGAGGTATGCGTTTATTATTCTGCGGAGTTGGATGGTTACCATAATTCTGGATTTCTCCGTGACTCAAGCTAAGTCACAAAGTGACTTAGTCCTTTTCTGTTGACTTTGCCGCGGTACTTTCGGTTGTGCCCGTATTTTATGTAGCGACTTTAGTATTTCCAATTTGTCATGGCATCAACTTGGTTAAAAGTTGTAATCTCCATAACTCTCCATGTTAAGTAAACAATGAACAGCACTTAACAGCGAGTTTGCTAAAAACCGCAAGGCCTTCAGTTCATTCTCTCTGAACCGCAAAACCGGCCAGAATTTAGGCTCCATGAAGCTTCTTGTTTCCTTCTACACTACATGCAAAATCGGACCTAATAAATTAACTCGTCCGCACCAACCAATTTCGTCACCTCATAAAGTACAATAACTTTATGACAAAATGAAAATAGCAAACTCTTAAATCTTCCGCTCTCATAGCCTCACAGCTCGTGTAAACATTTCCCTTCATGAAAAGGGGACAGGAAAAGGAAGCTAAATATCCAAAGGAAAGTATTTGAGGTTTTAATAATGATTGCAGCGCCACAAAATTTAATATATGCTACATGAGAAAAACGGGATGATTATTCATCGCAGTGGCACATAAAGTTCCCTTTGACAAGATAGTATTCTAACATAACAACTATGCAAAGGAATTTCAAACATTTTTCTTTTAATTGTCAACAAGGAAATAATTGAAGTATTCCACGAACACGAACCAACGCTTTGTAGAGAACAACAGAGGTTTTGCGCTCACATTTTTCCACTCTGGATATTTTCAATCTCGCTCAGAAACACTTCAGTCATCAAAACTTTTAGTTTGTGTTACAGTTTTAATCAGTCCTCAGGGTTTGTTACAATCAGTTAGAGTTACGAAAGCATACATCCGCGTGATTTTTTTCCTAGTTAGAGCATCTTTATACTGCCAGTTCAACATTTTTTCCCTAATAGTATCATAGTGCCACTCAAAACACACTCATATTCACTCAAAGTAAAATCGATTAGTAACAATTCTGACCTTGGAACAATTGCATGTCTCACACTTAACTGCACTTTAATATCTTTTTAAACAGGTGTAGGATACTATAGTGGACTAATGGAGGGTAACCAAGAAATTCAAAAATGTATGCACTTATGTTCAATTTAACATATAACACATTAACTTATGTTCGGGTTTCAACAAAAGTTCACTTGTCTTACGCTTCACAGCAGTAATGGTAACCTTTTGAACATGTACGCGCGGCATATATTATTCTAGGAGTACATGACACCCTTAGGAAAACACACTCATGTCTGTTTAATTTCGTGGTTACCTCTCATTAGTTCACTAGAATATACTGAAAATTGATCGACATTAGTTAACAGACTATAATTGACTTGTCTCATACTTGAAATGGGGTTTGTTGCTTCTCAAACTAGCACAGCATATAATGATTAAGGCGTAAATGACACATTCAGAAACCGAAAAAATTGATCGACTTTAGTGAACAGAAAAATGTTTGCTTTTGTTGTACTTAATGCAGTATATTAATTGATTCTCCAAAAAACTTATTGTCTACTGCTCAACGATTAAATGAAAAAGATAAGAAATTTCATAACACACTTATGTCTACTCAGAGAAAACTTAAGCACTCACAGTTCTTACTAAGGTTCGTTTGTGTCACACTTTTAAACAGGCGCCGATTCAGCCCGACTCAGGATGACGCTTAATGCATGAAATACTCTAATGTTTCCTCAGATGGTGTTTTACCGTATGTGATCGCAGTGTCATAGCTGAAGAGGTTCTCCTTCTTTCCAAAGCCCATTTGAAACTGCCAAACGTACAGCTTGGTGTTCGGTGGAATTTTCAGCTTAACGTTTTCGTCTTCTTTAGTGGTGTCACTCCACTCGAACTGCTCTGTGTTGACCAACTTTCCCCCAAACCTCTCTTTGAGGCTATACTGAACTTTACAGAGAGCTTCAATCAATTCTGAAACTTGGGCTTTGATTCCTACTTCTTCGCTTATTCCCATCTCGATGGACCATTCGAACTCTATGGAGGACATTGTGCTCCTGTCAAATCCAACGGTTTTCTTGATGGGTTTTCCCCATTCAATGGCAGTGTCGGAGTCGTTTTGAAGACATTTTACATCTTTCCAATACCCGAACACTTTTCCATGGGTGTGCGCTATACCACCAGGGATAAACTTGAGCACTGACTCGTGAACGCTGAAGTCGCCGCAATATTTGTTCAAGTTCATATTGGTGCTTCTGTGATAAGTGACACCCCTTTCTCCAGCCTGCTTCAGACAGTAGACGTAATTATTGTTACCCCAGAAATAGATGCCATCTTGGAACGCTTGATGGATTTTATATTCAACGGCGTCTTCGTCTTTGTTCATGTTACTCACTCGTCTGTAGGTGCCTCTGTTGGCAAACACGATGTACCAATAACCAAAGGCAGAGTAGTAGCTGCTTCCTCCGCGACAGTTGCAATGAAGAGAGTAAACCACAGCGTCATCGTCTTTACTCAGGTTGGTAACTCTGCGGTACTCATCTCCTTTAATGATGTAGAAATAAGAGTCAGTGGCCAAGTAGTGATCGCCCCATCTACAGGCCTCACTTAGACGGTGAATCTTGATATCTTTTCCAGCGTGAATATCTTCGCACCTCATGTAGACACCCACATCAGATCGGATAATATAGCAGCTGTGTTTAGTACCACAAAAGTCTATTCCTTTAGCCTCAGATGCACTCTTCGGCACGATCTCCGGATAATCTGAAGCGGCAGACATATTGTTGACTTGGTGGTTGCAGCTGATATAAGCTTTCTCCTTGAGTATCTGCGAAGAAGGTAATCCAAAGGGAAAAGATCGGGTTCCTAGTTACGTGCAAAGAAATAATTAAAATGGCGCAAGACCCTCTCTTTTGTAGAGACTGCCTCACATATGACCTTTACATTTTTCCAGCACTGAACTGTTTTACTCTCGCTAGGAATCATCACATTCAAAACACGATTTGTTTGCAATACTCTTTAATCATTCCTCAATATCTTTTACAACGATTCATCGACATAAAACATGCCTCAATAACCGTGTTAAAAAGATGACTACTTAACGATACATCGCTAACGTAAAACAATCGCCTTTGTCATGATGATATCACATCCATTAACTTGAAGCCGTCTGTTGGCGTCTACAACTACCTTGAAAGTCGGCATATGAAATCATTCCTGTCAATTGAAAGAGTCTAGCACACTCCGCTTATACTTTTTTTACTGTTAGCTTCTTCGAAACAGATGATTTACAAGAGTCACAGCGGTCGGAAAAGTTACTGCAAGTTTGTACCGATGGACGTTGATCAAACTAATCAGATGTCTCGAACTGGACAGCAACTCAAACAGTCAGTAAATTAAATCTAATTCCAAATAAAAGTTTGTCGTGTAATCAAAAGCGATAAACATTTATACATATACAGAGTGGACTGACTGAGTTTTTACTTTTACAATTTTTCCGCACTGGTCTGTATATTGTGCAAGCATGATTTAGGGGCTAGATCCTTCTCCTGGTCAAAGCCC